GTTCGTTTGTGGAACTCACTCCCTACCTCTATACGGTGCGCTCAATCGTTGCCCATTTTTAAAAACTTAGTTAAAGCCCACTACCTATCCTTATAATCACTTAGTCCTACGTATTTCCAGTTTTATGTGTGTTATATATATGTGTATTAATATGGTATATTTGTATGTATTTATGCGTATATATGTATATGTATGTATATATATTTATATGTGTATGTGTATGTATATATATGTATATGTTTGGTTGTATGTGTTTATTTATATATGTATATGTATATGACTATGCTGTCACAAATATTATTTTTTACAAATCTATCTTTTTTAACGCGCCACCTACCTACTTATGCTTTAATCCTTTCTACCCAAAGGTTGTCTGGAAGAGATTGCTTAGCAATAAGACCGCCTTTTGTACTACACTATACGTATTAAAAATTGTTTTAACAAATCATGTTATGTTGGTGCAATAAAGTGTTAAATAAATAAAAAAAATAAATAAATAAATATTATATACTTAATAAGCGTAACATTAACATTGTAATAACCTAACATAATTGTTATAATAAAAAACTAGTACCTTAAGTATAAAAAAAATACCCTATCCTAAGAATGAAGTATAGGGTTCGTGATTCACTGTTCATCCCAAAGGTTGACTGATAGAGAATGCTAGCATTAAATCCCATTTTTATGTACCCGATTTTGTTATGGTCAATAAAGTTATTTAGGTAAATAAAGGATCTTTTGTACGTTATATTTACCTTTCAAATAGAAAATTTGTACGCACACAAAGCTCCAAAAGCGGTAAACGAATTGTATAATAGTAAATTTACGTTATCATGCGTATGATATGTAATTTTTATTTATAATTTTTGTAATGTTGTTATGTAGTATCTATCCTATACAATGTATATATTTTGTGCTTTGAATAAATAAATATGTTATATGTAAAAGTAGCTACAAATACAATCGTTTACCACTTCACTAATTGGGAAGGTTATGCGGTAAATGCCTTAGACGAAACAGAAGCCACAAATTATTAAAACGTAATAAATTGAAATAGACACGTAACAATACAATTTGATCATGCAAGTGACGTACTATAATATATTTGAATTTTCTTCATAATAATATCTAGGTCTATAAATCACCACATATTTATAAAATAGCTACTTTTTTCATAACACAAAGGGCGAACGAGCATGCGGCTCACCTGATGATAAGTGACTACCGCCGCCCATGATCACCCTCAACACCATAGGCATTGCAGGTGTGCTGTCGACCTTTTAAAAAGGAACGTGCTCTTTATATTTTTATAATTTTTTTTAGATTTGGAGTATATCTATCATTTTAATTTTAATTTATAAGTGAATTTAAAAAATAAGTTACAACTATTTCAATCAAATGTAATGTTATTTTACTATAAGCGTCATCTGTTCATACAGAATTAATAAGGTATGTATAATATTTTAGCAATAGACTTACTGAAATGCTAATGATACACTATACAAATACTTTCCTCGAATAAACGTCTTTTTGTTTTTTCAAATATATAGTACATTGAGAAACAGACTTTTTGCAACCAGATGTATTTAAATCAAAAGGTAAAAACTTGTGTCAGCCAATTACTTATATTCCAACTCATCACAATTGTTTTAAGGCAAAATCATCAAGTACAGAGATATAAGATGACCTTGAACCAATTATTATTTTATTGATTGAATAAAAATTATGTTACATTCAAATTTATAGGTCGATAATAGGTAGGTTAGGGGGGAAAGGGATTGTTAGTGATGGAGACTGAGAATCCCATTGCTAGCAATATACCCAACTAGGTCGACCTCCTCGCGGTTCCTCCTGGAAACTATCATGGTTAATTCCTGAACTGGCCTATTTTCATTCTCATCTATCACCCTTCACTGGTGCTCTGCCAGCGTATCCCTTTAGCGCAGGCGGGGTTACCATACCATTTTCACCAATCAAAAAAAAATAGGTAGGTTAATCCCTGTTGACTTTTATACGTCATGATTATATCAAAGATATAAGTTAATAAAATTATGGTCCCCCTCATCAAATGCCACGAATGATCATGATTCGATTTGAAAATTTATATCATTAAATTTATAACAATTGTGGCCGTATTCCAATAGTACATAAAATTTGGAAGCACCATATTAAAATTTTAGTAAATGTAAATACTACAATTAGTAAATACACTTTTTTATTTGGAATAATTTCCATTAAACAATTGCAATTACAATTATCTTTTCAATTACAAATCATAAATCACACGGTTTAACATTAGATAAAGCTATTGTAGACATGAGTGAAAATAAACTTCTTTTACGATTTTAAGAGTAAAGATATTGAAATAATTACCAGTATATAGAAAAATTCCCTATAATTGATAGATTCAGTAGTATTAAAAAAATCATACTTTTTTTAATTTACATACATACATGTTTAAATGGAAAAAAGAAGAACGGATTTCTTTTTTTTTCTATAAAAAGTATTTTAATAATATAAAAAAATATTAATATTTATAAAGAACCAAATTAATAATTATATATACATTTGAAAATATTTAAATTTTTTAATTAAAAACACTGTCTTCAAAATTATTATTACCAGGTGTAAAAACCTTGCGAGCTCTCACAAGTTGCACTTTTTGCCAGTTATGATTAAAATTCAATATTTTACTCACATACTTATATATTTGGGTTTCCTTTTAAAAAAAGAACAGTAAACTTATAAAATAAAATTTAAGATAATTAAGACAGTCTTTTGAGAACTTCAACTTTGGCCATGCTTCTATAGTACACTATATTTACTTTATAACTTAGCTTTACAATTTACACCTAACATACATAATTATACTCGTATGTATATTGGCATGCTTTTTTTATAACACAGAAAGCAAAAGAGCATATGGCTCACCTGATGGTAAGTCACTACCGTGACCTATCATCAGGTGAGCTGCATGTATACACCCATAACACCAGAGGCATTACAGGTGTGCTGCCGGCCTTTTATAAAGAAATGTGCATAAAAAACATGAAGTTTTTCTATTCTGTCTTCCTACAGACTGCCCCAGGATTGAGAACGAGGGTCCTTTAAGTTGGTCAAACCGACTTCTCTACGAACATTTGAAACAATCTTAAAAACTCCAGCTGAAGATCGGAAAGCCACTTTTGTATTATATATTGTTTTTATACTTATTTTACTCCCTCTTATAATGTCTGTTTCCAATCATAAAAAACCACGAAGCTCTGTTCTACTGGAGGTTACGCTAGGGCTGCGGCTGTAGGCTTGCCTAGCTGATCACGAACCACTAAGCTGATCAATCCAGCTTTTTCTTCTCTATTTTGTCAGTGTCATTTGTAAGAAATTCCCTAAGAAGTCCAACTAAAAATTTTGGAGACTTATATTTTGTATTTTATTTGGATCCCCGTACTGCTTTGTAATTTTCATTATTAAATTATTGTATTTACGCCTTTTTATTTCTTGAAAACCAACTGACAACTCCTTAAAAATGTTGAATAGCAGAGTGAATGAATAATTCTCTAAAATTAACCTTACTGTGCCATAATAGATGATACCTTTTTCCGTCTTTTATTATTCTTAGTTTATATATATTCAATCCGTAATTTTTAGAAGTAAACAAGGAGCACAAAATAATATTTACTCTTTTATTCGTCAAGTAAATTATTCTATATCGATTTCTAGCAGCTCTATTACCTATATGTTAAATTTGAAATCTATTTTAAGTTATATTGTTTTGATTCTCTGTTAAAATAACAAAACGAAGGGCACATATACATTACGAGTATACCTATAATATTATTATTTAATTTCTAATACTATATTTTATTGTTTATCAAACCAAAACTGACAAAACTAATAAAATTAAAGATGTACAAGGTAAAGCAATGTTCAACTACTCTTATAGCTTAATACCAAATATACACATATTTTATTCTACATCACAATAATATCATTTAGACAAAAATTTTGAAATCACATACATACATAATTTTACTTGCTGTATTCCACGGGTCCGTCCGTGGTAATATAAAAAGGTTCTAATAAGTATGAAAAAGCCCAAGAAATGAGCTAAAAAATAGAAAATGAATAGTTCTAACCGGTAGTCCTAAAAGTAAACGCCTTCAAATAAACAAAGAAACTCTTCCATTTTATATATTACAATAGATAGACATCTTAAATTTGAAGCATAAGAAGAAGATTTCATTTCTATTACGTACCTATAACCTACTTTTAAACTTAGAGTGAAGAACTTGAAAAGTTTCACGTTGCATGATTTATAGCCCCAACGAGATGGGAATTAACGTGATCTTCCAGGTAGAATATTATATACCACACACCAAGTTACGCTAGCTATCATATAAGTCATTAAATGCATCTTTTACATGCAGTAATTAAAAATTACTTTCCAATTAACACTCAAGAATTTGCTAATAAGTTTTTGGTGTTAAGATGTTCTCCTAAACAGTTAAAAAAAACTTGCTACGGGGTATTTCATAGAACAATAAAATGAAGGAGTTTCAACTCTATTACCCACTATAAAGGTTTAATTGGTAGATCAAATATCTGAGTACAGATGTGTAATAACAACAAATACAACACCCATAATAGAGTTGGTTATGCCTACACTGTTATAATCACGATATTATTTTCCAAATACTTAAACTAACCATAAGCAATTCACTATCATTTTTTAAAATTGAATAGTGCAATCGGTAGAGACTATGCTTAAAATTGTGACACAAATCCATGAACGTTACAACAAAGAAAATTACATTAGAAGTATTTTATTTTTCATGGGCAAATTTTCCACGTAGCGTTTGAACTAGACTGTCTTTAATCTGGAATAAACAAGTAAATAGCTTTCAAACTAGATAAAATGCGTAGCGACGACGTGTGTGACATTGGTAGACCAAGCTCTACGCGGCAAAGCTCGTAGCTGTCGGGCATAAGCTTGCCGCCATTCGTACGCATCCGTCGTGTCGCCGGCGTTCGGAACTGCCGCATTGTGCCAACGCGTAACTTGTAACACGACCATGTGTTTACCAACTCCGTATCAAATCAACTGACGTGCCAAAATATTTCGTGATTTGTTGCACTTACCCGGATTCCACACTAAGACGAGGTGAGCATAACTTTAATATTAGTTTCACATTTCTTCATAACGTTTCAATAAAAGCATACGATAATAAAAAGATGGCAATAAAGATTCGAGGAAGCGACGGATAAGAAATGCCCGAAGTGCCCATCAAGTTGACAGTTATGTACAGAATTATGTACAGGTATATCTATACAAGAAATTGCCTCGAGAATAGTGGAAATCAATTCAACTTGCATACAATATTTTTATTAATAAATTTATTTATTTTTGTTATGTAGTACTAAAATAGTACAAATAACGTAAGGATAATAGTCTAAATATGCATTTTACTATGCAATTAGGCATTACAGTCTTTTTCCATTTCTCTTTTTCTACTAAGATAGTTTTTACATCTATACTCTTGATTTTTACACTAATATTTGATACAATAATAGATATTTTTATGAACATACCTTAATTGAATTTATATTTAATTTAAATTATAATACTAATAAAAATCGATTAAAAAAATATTATTTTAAAATTGTAAGAAACAGGAATGGATAATAATTAGCATTTTTGGCCATTTTTCATAATTCAGCCGCCAAATTGGGATTGCAATTTCAGCTAAAAATTATGAACAAGAAACTCAATAATATTGTTTTCAAACAAGAGTATTACAAATAATATATATATTATTTATATCATACCATATAGGATACCATCACAAATGCATATGTATTTTCGAACAGATCAGTTGCTATAAGCAGCCCTCGTTCTCGAGTATAACAAATGAATCAGCCATCTCTATTTTCAACCATATTATAAGACGCAATGGACCAGCCGCCTGAATGAATAAAAAAAAAACTACTGAATAATTTCAATAAAATTGACACACGGGTATATTCTAATAGCGCATAGAATATTTTATATACTGATTCACACGGGTTAAGCCATAGAATATAGCTAGTATCCACATAAATGATTATATAGTTACAAAAATTACATAGATATTCATATGCATAATCCATATTATAAGGCATGTGTAAATTAATTAAAGAAGCCCGCACTGGGACAAAGTATTATTAATGAATAGATATATTTCCTGAAATTGTAACAGATATTTATCAGACTTGACTATTGTTTAATGTATAATAGGCTTTAATACTAAACGTATTCCGCAACTTCGCTCTTAGTCATGTTTAATAACCTTCCTCAGCTCAATATGCAAAAAGGTTTTTCAATTCGACTAGGCGCGTTCAAACAAACTTCCGATATTATATTGATATTGATTATAGGCTTTTTAGCCTGTAATATAATAAAATCATTTACTATTAAAAGAAAATACTACAATACAATATGAGAATGTAATTATGCCTCTATTATTTTCGTTCGTTACTTGAAAGCTTATCTATTACTCTTGGTTAATTAGTTAATAGTCCTCGAGGCTCGTCGTTTCTGTCCTTTTCCCTCGCGAAAGAATTGAACCTGTCAATTAATGGAAATTACCTCAGCTGGGGATTTGAACTGAATTAAATTGATTTTCCGATTTACCTTGTCTTCTGTACTTATTGCATACCGTATGACAGTTATTATATATTATTTTAACGCAACCGATGTTACTATATTCAGAATCTAATTTGATAAAAAGCGGAACTTAATAATTCTTTTGTTTTTATCACCATTATCATCATCATATCAGCCATTACCTGTCCACTGCTAAACATAGGCCTCCCATATAGACTGCCAAAAGTAATGGTCCTGAGCCACCTGCATCCACTGACTTCCTGCAATGCATTTGAGGTCGTCACTCCGTCTAGCGGAGGGTCATCCTTCACTGCATTTGCTCATATAGAGGCGTCATTCAAGAATCCTTATTCCTATGTAACATGTATTCTATTATTTTGTATGCCTAAAGTAAATAGTCGTGTAAATAGGCATCTAATGGAAGGAATTCTTTGGAACATAATTTTAGCAGATTCGTACGTGCTTTTGTTGACATACTAGAGGCAATGTAGTAGGTAATATTTGTTTTTATTTTGTATTCTACGACTATGACGATTTCACTTAACCACATACAGGCAAATGTAATGTAGAACGACTCCCACTAGATGGAGTGACGACGTCAAATGCATTGCAAGGTTTTAGTGAATTAAGGTGGCTCGGGGCCATTCCTTATGCCAGTCTATAGAGCTAGCCTATGTTCAGAAGTAGACAGTTATCAGCTGATATGATTTCACTTATAATATAAATGTCTTAGAAACACGTGCATTAATAATATTTTTGTTTAATACAAAATTTTGACCTAATATATAATAAACACACATGGATATTTTCGCAAATAATTGAAAAGTCTCGTACATACCTAGAAGAAAATTGTCACCTATACTCCAATAGACATCTAAAGTGTTTACAATTTATTTTCAAGCGAGTGCAAGATAAATCTACTAGACTACAACACGAGATTTTTCAAAAGGATGAAATAAGATTTCTACAAGGTCGACACATCAGCCCTATAGACCATATCCGTCTATCGATAACACAAATAAGAAAGATTACTAATTATTACGAGTACACAGGAATATTTTAGCTAAACATCTTTTCCAACCATTTTTATATACACTTTAATTTACATCAATACACAATAATACATTTATCTACAAATAGACGCCAATAAAATTATTCCCGACATAAAAGCATGTATCTCTACTCAACGTTCTTGCGTTTAAAGGATATACTACGGATTTTTGTAAGGTCTACACATATAACTAAAAGCAATTTCTTCTGTAACACATAGTAACAGTAAGTGTTACACCCGAATCACATATAGTGGGATTAAATTACGCAAGGACAACTAATTGCTTTTTCCGGCAAGGGTTGCAAGAATTAATGTAATAATCCCAACGCAAATTCATCTCTAAACAGTTTACAGTGTTATTGTAAACAACGTTTACTCCAATGCTTTTTTTTATTTTTATAAATAAAAATAACATTTTCTTTTATAATTTCTTTGTTATGCGTTCGGCTTATTGCAGCTTAGTTGGCTATAGACTCCGTAACTTCGTGTTATATCAATAAATGAGCGAAATAAACCTGTATTAATTTAAGCTTAATTTTATTAAGCTCAAATTATTATGTATTATGCATTGTTCTTATTAGCTTTTGTTAATACGAGTACATGTTAATAAGAGATAATGTTCCTATTATCTGATAACTATTTCTGATCATAACCTTTAAGAAAAGCGCATTATCCTTTTCGTAAAGTCGGCAATTCCTCTGGTGTATTGCATAGTTAACGGTAAACACTAACCTTGATGGTAATAAAACTTATGTTCATTTGTCCTGTATATTACAAAAAAAAGTATTTCGGTAAATTTTAAATACATATATATGTATATATTTATACCAAGTCCATTTTTTTATATCTGAAAAAATCATTATATCTGTTAAGTCAGAAAAAACAATACACAATTACAAAATTTAATTTTAAATCGATTGAGCGGTTTCATAGATTAGCGTAAACGAACCGTGACACGGAATACGCATTTTAATATATAAAAAAAATTTATGTATTAAAATGCGTATTTTAAATTAGAATAATAGCGTTTTTTCTATAATTGACTTTTATTTAAATAAAAACGTAATTAGGGGTGTACCGGCTAGTTTGGTTGGATAAAGACGCCAAATTTTTTTAATTGAAATATATCTTACTTGTGTTAATAAATTCGTAAATGCCTCATGCTGATAAATAATTACATTACTTGATTCGAATTCGATTAGATAAATTACTGTCAATTGTTTTCTCTGTGTGATCTATTTGTTGTAATTTTTCTTTTTATTGGTACAATAAAAAGTTTCTATGTATACTTAAAGACCATAATCCTATATGAGGCAATCAGAGCCAGTTATTTTGCTCCCAACTCACCCACAATTTACCAAGTTTATCAGAATATCGAACATATCAAGATGGGAGGTAAGCTTAGTGGTGGTCTTGAGATAAATTAAATTAACAGTGTTTACCTCTTGTAGATGATTTCAATGTTATTCGAATATTATACAAATATTTTAGGTATTGACTAGATTTTAATTTATAACTTTTAAGACTCATAAATAAATTAAGGTAATCCAGTGGATCAAAATCATAAAATAAATAGTGAAATGACTATAATAAATAAAAATGCTGGAATATATAGTTGTTAAGTCTAAGTAACAGAGAAATATGTTTATAAACATATTAATGTTAATCTCTCTATAAATAGAATTAATAATATTTCTTCCGTTTATATGAACGGAAGAAATTTTTCATCTAGTACCGACTACAGACATATTTTACTGTTCTCACTACACTGTCTACGTCAGGAAAACTGTACATACTTATTAGGTCTACAAGCAATATCGTCGCGTAGTGTCAATATTACTTTAGTTAGTTATTCCAGCTAGCCTTCATTTGAATAGTCATAGAGATGCCTAAATCCAATATGAAACTTATGCTCTCAAAGTAAACACATAATATGGCTATAACTTTTCAGTTTTGTTTTTCGTTCTAAATTTGAACTTCTGCTGGAAATTAGATTATAGCTTAGATTATATAGATAGTCTCCATACAAATGCTTCGAGAAAAGCGGAATAACTTTTTCATACAATTTTACGTGTTAAATAGTTATGTTTCCATTATAACTTCTATATTTATTTTATTTATTAAATAATTAAATATAGATATGTCTAGATATATTATGTGCATAAGTATATAGAATACTGATAAAAAACGAATCAGCTAATTTGACAATAAGATGACAAAAAGCTAACCCGTTTTTAGACTCGATGCTCTATGTATATAATCTTATAGTTAAGCAAATTTATTACAACTATTACTGTTATAAACTTTCACCGAAAACATTATTAGATATAGCATTAATCTTAATTTATATTAAACAATCTTTTTACACTCAGCACCAGAAGTCTATTATCACATACATATTCCCAAATCCCTAAACACCAATGCGTCATATAAATCGTTCAACATGACTACTAGCGTAAAAATTGGA